GTGTGTGTGTGTGTGTATGTGTGTGTATGTGTGTGTGTATACGCGCGAGCGTGCGTGGGTGTGACGAGATACGAAACGAATGTGCCAGAGAATGGACAATAAAATTAATCAAAAGATATCTCAGGCCTTTATCAAATTGCGCCTCACGTCTAAACGGGGCAAAAATACCGATGGAGACGCCATCAGTAATACAAACAATTTAAATGAATGTTTGATGTAGACCGTGGTATTCAGCTCTGAAAGTCTAAGTGATGTAAGAGATAAACAAAAAAGTACAAGCGGAAATATTGCAATACAATCCTGCTAAATCAACAGTCTTGGATGGCATGGCACCAGCTCGGCGTCATATTATCTTCCTCTTAATCGTAGATGTGTTATACGCCCCGACATACAGGTTGTACATCATGTAAAAGGCGCACTGCCTCGACCCTGAGAGTGAGGGCCAACCTGGGCTGAGAGGGATACAGCGTGCCTGTAACTAGGGATACGGCGTGCCTGTAACTTACTGTAAGGGCCAACCTGGGCTGAGAGGGATACAGCCTGTAACTTACTGTAAGGGCCAACCTGGGCTGAGAGGGATACAGCGTGCCTGTAACTTACTGTAAGGGCCAACCTGGGCTGACAGGGATACAGCGTGCCTGTAACTTACTGTAAGGGCCAACCTGGGCTGAGAGGGATACGGCGTCCCAGCAGAAAGACGGAGATACAACTTTACTTGATAAAGAGTTTCCATACTCGAGAATTGAACTCAGGTCTTCTGCACGCGATGGTGAAGCGCCTAACTGCTGCACCACAGACCCCGGTGTATTTTTTCTTCGTTTGGACAGGAGGAAAGGAGCAGTATTGGAATGCGTTGGTGGCCAAGGGGGTGGGGTGGGGTTGGGGGAATGGGGCAAGGAGTTTAGTACACTAGGGCTGTGAGCTGTCATTGTTGGCCACCGCTTTTTGCCCCCCCCCCCCCACACGCACACACACACCTCGCTACCTCCCCTCCCACCTTTTCCTACCTCACTTCAAGGGACACGAACCTATATGTGACGTGGTTAGGCTACCAGACCCTTAGGCTAACATTGAGATTATGGGTTCGGGGGTTCGAGCCTCAGTTCGATCCGACGTTGCGTACTTGGGAAAGGCACTCTACACGAATTTCCAATTTGGCTTGGTTCTTTCGGAAACGGACATTAAACTCGGTGGTCATGCCTTTTAAATAGCCCTATAAGAGTGTCGAAAGGGGCGTTAAAGCCTATACAATTTCACATTTCATGAACCCCTTTCCCACTGTACTTAGAGGGTCTCCGGTTGGTGGGTGCTCTGGTGTGGTTTGATCCTTCCTTCCTATCAAACATCTACCGTCCTTATACAATATATTTCTTTTTTCAGCGTTTGTTACTCTCTTGTTACACCTCAAATCATCGGCACATAGTATTATTATATGCCCTAATTGTGTTCCATGTGCCGCAAAACTCTTACTAACACTGAACTAAGGGGGTCTCGACCCAGTGCTAGAGCCACGACTTTTTCGCCCCGACACCTCTGTGTACATTCACAATTTCTGTCATCGTTATCCTCTTCTTGTGGTCTTGGCGTCGGTGGTGTAGTGGTTATAACGATAGATTACGGGCTCGGGGGTTCCATCCTCAGTTCAGTCCGATGTTGTGTGCCAGGGAACAGCGCTTTTTAAAACAAATTTTCCTGTTTGCTCCCCCCTTTTGGAGAGGAAAGTTACGTTCGGAGGTCGGCCTCTTAAATACCGTAATCTCATAGGCCTAGTGTTGCAAGAGCGTTTAGCCTATACAGTTTCGCGTTTGTCATGGTCGTTGTCGTTGACTGTTATTGTTTCTGACGTTTTTATGTTATGGCTTTTGTTCCAGCTGCTAATGTTGAAGTTATTATTACTGACATTATGACATTGTTATTACAGTTTTGCTTTTAGTCAAATTGATCCGGTTGTTGCTGTTGCCGAGGACATGATTACTTCTCTTGGCTTGGTAGTTGTTGTAATCTCGGTTGTTGGTGTAGTTGTTTTATGTTGTTGTTGTTGTAGTCGTTGTCATCGTCGTTGTTGTAATGTCTGTTGTCGTTGTAGTAGTTATCTATGTTGTTGTTGTTGAAATCTCAGTGGTTGTTGTAGCTGTTATCCATATTGTTGTTGTTTGCATGTTGTTGTTGTTGTTGTTGCAGAAATCTCTATTGTTGTTGCAGATGTGTCTGTTTTTTATATT